TACTAATGACTCGCAGATGCCAACTTGATGTAAAATGCTCTCTAAGATTGACTTTGTCCCTTTTAAAATGGACCTCCAACTTGTGTCGAAATATCATCTAGGAGCGAACAGGCTGTTTGTCTGCTAACTAAAGGAGTCGAAATCAAGACAAAAACAAATATTCAAAATTTGAGTTTCCGTTGGGGGGGGGGGCTCCCTTGTCTCCCGTCAAATATTTTCAAAATGTAAGGCAAAATTTACTTAATTATTTGTTTTTTTAATAAAGCTTAAATTTAAACTAAAAAATGATCAGAAAAAATAAAAATATTAGTTTCCATTTTTTTAATTGTTTCTAATTTTGGACAAACATTAGGAGGGACATTAAACGTGGTTTCATTCAAATTCAAGTCACTTTTGTCTTAATTTTAAAGGAATATATGCACTTATCGAATAAGTCCAAATACAGAACAAACGCAACAGACCTGATTCTTCAATTACTTTTTACTTATTTATTTCTTATGTCCTTTTATCATTTTAAAAAAAATAAAATGATCTTTTACTTATTTTCAATTGATTTTATTTTGTTTTTATTGCATGTGCAAATGTGTGATGGGTGGAAAGTGACAAAAAAACCAAAGAGATAAGAGAAAGCAAATTAAACAATAAACCCAGCTTCCATTACAAGTGGTGGACCTTTAGGCCGAACCTTGTTTGCCCTATTTGACAAAAAAATAAACCCAATACATGTTTATAGATTATTTATAAACATTCAAATCACTTTTTATCTATATATTTTGAGAGATTCGCTCGTAATACTCATTTATTCATCGTTGATCATTTCTATCTATAATTTAAATCATTTTATAAACGCTTTCTATTAATATTGTGATACATTTGTGAATACAAATATGTCTCCAAGATAATGTTGTCTGTGTTTTGCATCCATGAGGGTAATCCGAAACCATAGATTGCATATGTCTTTATTCGAGATCTATATTTTGTTTCTTGAGAATGATAAAGTATAAATAAGTTTTACGGAGAGAAAATACGTAACTGAACAAGTTTAATTTACTGAAAAAATAACGAGATAAAAAGAACATTATTTTGCCATATATCAAAGTGTATGCAAAGTGAAAACATCAAATCTGTTGTGAAACAAACAAGATACCAGAATAACTCTGATACCAATTGATGTGAAACAAACCACTGGATTGAGATGTTGAAATTATATGGCAAATAATAATAAAGTATATGATCAAGCAAAATAATAGTAAAGACAACAATATGGAAGATGAATTAAGAGATTTTATTGACTTAAAAATAATGAAGAACACATAAAAATTACAATAGATCTTATAATTCTAGTATTCTATTTTCTCACACCATAAAATTGTATAGAAGAGCCTAATATTTATAGGGAACATGTAGGAGATGTCCAAACTCTTCTAATAGAGTTGTTGATAAAATATGATACCAAAAAATTGAGTCCAAAACAAATTTCAACTCCCAATGGACTTCAAAAAAAAAACTTCAACTTGATATAGGACTCCAATAGCATTCCAAACTGAATTCTTCTTGATGTGCACTTCAATTAGAATTCTTCAATTATTTCAACAAGGGATTCGAGTCACACTCAAATTCTAACAAAACCTATATATTGATTTCTACATAACCCTTCGTATATAGGACTCCAATAGCATTCCAAACTGAATTCTTCTTGATGTGCACTTCAATTAGAATTCTTCAATTATTTTAACAAGGGATTCGAGTCACACTCAAATTCTAACAAAACCTATATATTGATTTCTACATAACCCTTCGTATAAAGTTGCACCACTTCATTTGAATCTTTTGATATAAAAATGGAACAATTTCAGATGTTATCACAAAAAATCACCCAAACAACCATGAATACGTCAAGGGACATCAAGGGTCGCATTCATGCAACCCTTCAACACATGCGATGGCTGGCTGGCTGTCACATGCATAAGTTTGGCAAAATGATTAAGTTATAATATAGAATACGTTATAAGTTATAATTCAATTTTACCTAATTTTAACATCATCTGAACAAAGATGAGTCGAATCAATCAACACTAAATTTCGAAAACGTTCCAACAATCCCCCATCATTTTCAAAATGGATAAAAGTTTGATGATATCTCTCGTATAGACTTCACAAACTTTAATCATAAATGAAGGTGTCTTATGAACTTGAACCTAAACGTCATGAGAATATCTCAAATGTTAACCAATGTGGTATGATACACAAACTTTGAACCAACGACCCTATATGACTGAAAGGAAACACCCCAAGCACAAGTTTCATATCCTCGCGGCAACTGTTTATATTTTTGTAAATATTTTCGGTAGCTAGCCAAGACATCCTATAGACAGCATCATCCCTAACATTCATATAGGTCAACTTATCAAGTATACTCGAGTAACTTAAGTATTTCATAGATATATTTCTATATATTGGTTAAAAGTTAAGTAGTTTAATATATCCTTTCGCATTATGTGTACCACACACATTGCTATCTAGCTTAAGCTCTACCCAAATATCTCCTTTCAAAAAATGAGGTTTAAACTCGATATGCTCTATCAAAGGTTTCCCAAATTCTAGGGTTTTCACGTGAAACCCTAGACAAAGGTAGATCCAAGAAGGTTTCAACCAAGAGATCCAAAAAAATATCTACAAATCAAATGATAGAAACTCGTTACCAAATGTTTCAGTTCAACAATGTAAAATAGTGAATATCAATACTATTTTATTTTCTTCACAAAAATGAAGATCTAACCCTTTACAGTATAGATATGTGATGATCTAGGGTTTTGATCGTCAAGAACACCAGAAAAATCATCGAGGTTCCATTATTGATGATTTAGAATTTGGCTTATGTCCCTATATCTATGACATTTGACGAATCAAGGTCTTACATAAATTGTAACAATGTCATGCTCTATCTTCGTCAATATCCAACTTAAGTGACATGAACCAATGCTTAATTCTCGTTTTGGAAGAATAAGAGTCCACATTTTTTATTGATAAATAAATTTAATTGTCTTTAACTTTTATCAAAATCTACTAAAAATCTAATTTTTAACAAAACCAAACAATAGCATAGATTACGACTAGACTTGTTTTCAATGAAACCTGATTTATCAGTTTTTAAAAAAAACCACTTCAAAACAACTAATTAATTAAAAAAAACCACTTCAAAACCTGATTTATTTTTTGTTGTTAAAATTAATCGATGACCTAGACCTAAATTTTTTAAGCTTTATCGAACAATCATTTAATCTTTTCGAGACATTGACAACATAGTGTGGGACCATCTCCCAATGCTTGGTCAAGCCATCCGTGACACCCCATTTGCATCATGTGAACTTTATTTTGTCATCACTTATAAGCAGGGATAAAAAATAAAAAAAAAAGTTAAAAATATAATCAAGAACTAATTGTAAATTTCTATACATTCTCTGTCAAAACAATGAATCCAAATTCCAAACAACAAGAGAAAGATGGTTTCCCCATTTGAAAGTGAAATGACCAAACAGCACATGACAAAAAAAACGACACATCAAAAATTGAAATCCAAACATGTGTGTTTTTGAGAAACTCAATGGACTGTGTCAGAAAAATTTCGAGGACCCATCTTATATTATATTTTTTTAAAAATAAATTAATGGGGTTCAATTGAATTATATTCATATATTTTTTGAAATTTTGCAAAAATTGTATTTTCAAGAAAAGAATTTGGGGTTTATATAGGCGTCTAATGTACTTATAAGACACTTCAAAACTTGAAAGTAGTATCGATATTCAAGCATTAAGACTGTATGAATCTTTTTTCTTTTTCTCTTTTCAAAAAATGCAAACGAAAACCCTGAACACCGTTGGCTTACTAGATTTCATCCCCGTTTTTTGACATCCGACTTTTAGGATATAACTAGACTTGTTTTCGACGAAACTTAATTTATGAGTTTGTACAAGTTAACAGAGCTAGGTCAAACAACTAGTTACCACCAACCCTTTTTAGAACAAATGTCCACGATCATGAGAATCATTTTCCCGTTGGGTGACTTCACGAAACTACCAACACGCTATAAGTAGGTCTTTTCCGTCATTGCCACGTTTTCTCTAATACCATTTTTCACTTGTAGAGTTTACCTACATAATCGACCTGCCGAAATTTATTGGGAAACTTTGGAGAATGCTGATTGAATTAATTACTTTGGAACAACCAAAATATTCCGCTCAACTTTTCCTTTTCATCATTCACTAAACACTCCAAAATCCCGCAGAACAAGATATAAATATTTATCGCCCCCCCCCCCCCCCCCCNCCCCCCCCCCCCCCCGGGCATAGCTCAGTTGTGCAAAGAACGGGAGTGAAGTAGTCTCAACTGAACTGACTGCCGCAGTATGAGGGTTCGATTCCTACCTCTTATAAGGTATGAAATCGGACTCTTTGTGAGCACCAGTATAACAACTCTTGTACCATGACTTGTTGAGTCACATCCCATAATTTACTTCTTCCACAATACTCTAAGGATGGAGCGATGAGGAAACCCGAAGGTTGAGGTTCAATCTTTTAAGATATAAATATTTATCATTCATGTAGTAAATTTATTGGCTTTTTCACATTTGGACCGCAAAACGAACTGTTTTCAGGTCTTGTCATATCACCCCGACGCTACCCTACCCTACCTCACCCCACCACCCTCTCTCTCTCTCTCTCTCTATTTTCTCCCCTGACTAATGTCGCTCTCAATTCTCAACTAATTTTGTACAAAATCTATCAGTCCCACGTCCAGATCTAATCTCTCTCTTGTTTAGCTATGCATTACTGAACTACTAGTTGGCCATGGCAAGATGCAGTACTAGAACTCTTTAGTCTTTACTGTACTTGAATAGCTTCTTTCTTGTTCAGAATGCATAACCTAACTTCTTGTTATGTGTATTTGTGTCTGTAGTTAGAGAGAGATAGAGGAGAGAGGAGTGAGAAAGGCCATGAAAATGAAGTCTTCTACGGCAATAATGGCATTGTTTTCAGTTTTTGTGGTTGCAGGGTGTTTAGGTGAAGAAACCCTTCAACTCAATGACGATATATTAGGCCTCATTGTGTTCAAGTCAGCCATCAAAGACCCATTAATGCATTTGGATTCTTGGAGTGAAGATGACACTTCTCCCTGTGCATGGAACTTCATCACTTGCAATAACGCAAATGGTCGAGTTACACAAATTTTACTTAATGGACTGAACTTATCAGGAAAGATTGGGAGAGGCCTCGAAAAATTGCAGTTTTTGAAGGTATTATCTTTATCTAGTAACAATCTTACTGGCAGCATAAATCCAGAATTGGCACTTATAAATGGCCTTGAAAAGCTTAATCTTAGTCAAAATAGCCTTTCAGGTATTATACCAACTTCTTTAGCTAACATGAGTTCACTTCAGTTTCTTGATCTGTCAATGAACTCATTATCAGGACCTGTCCCTGATAATTTATTCGAGAACTGTTTTTCGCTTCGTTTTGTTTCTTTATCTGGAAATCTTCTGGAAGGGCCAATTCCAAGTACTCTTACTAAATGTACAAGTTTGAATCACCTTAACATTTCCAACAATCATTTCTCTGGGAACCCGAGTTTTACTCTGGGAATTTGGTCGTTAACGAGGCTCAGAACGCTTGATCTTTCGGTGAATCAACTGTCGGGAACTGTAACTAATGGTATAGCAGTTCTGCATAACTTGAAAGAGCTCTTTTTACATGGAAATCACTTTACTGGATCTTTACCAGCTGATATTGGTTTTTGTCCACATTTGAGTAGGTTAGATTTCAGTTTTAATCGATTTTCGGGAGAAATTCCAGGGTCAATGCAAAGGCTAAAAGTTCTTAACTTTCTGAGTTTATCCAACAACTTGTTTACTGGAGATTTTCCTTCATGGATCAGTAACATGAACAATCTCGAATACATTGATTTTTCCGAAAATGCTTTTATGGGATCACTGCCAATGTCAATGGGAGACCTCAAATCATTGAAGTTTCTTAGTTTGTCTAACAACAAATTAACTGGAAACATTCCCAAGTCCCTGGCTTATTGTACCAGCCTATCCATTATCCGATTGATGGGAAATTCATTCAACGGTAGCATCCCCGAGGGATTGTTCGATATGGGATTGAAAGAAATGGATTTTTCAAGAAATCAAATTACTGGGTCAATTCCTCCAGCTTCTAGAAGACTTTTTGAGTCCCTCCAGGTGTTGGATCTATCAGGGAACAATCTGACAGGTGAGATTCCAGCAGAAATGGGACTTTTTTCCAGGCTGAGTTACATGAATTTGTCAGGGAATTATTTGGAATCCAGGATGCCACCAGAATTTGGATACTTCCAGAATCTCACTGTGTTAGATCTTCGGAACAGCGGTTTGATTGGATCCATTCCGGGCAACATATGCGATTCTGGCAGCTTGGCAATTCTCCAACTTGATGGAAATCTTTTGACTGGTCCAATTCCTGAAGAAATTGGAAACTGTTCATCACTCAACTTGCTGTAAGTTTTATTTTTGGTTTTTTTTTTTTAGTTTGCATATCGTCAAGTAGATCTAGTAATGAGCACAACAGAGTGACGAAAAAAAAAAAAGATTTATATATAGGCCAACCCCAAATTTATTGGGAACCGGCTTAGGTCTGTTTGACAGGTGTCTGCTTCAGCTTCTTGAAGATGCCTTCCTAGAAAAACTCTTCTAACCAATGAGGCATGTTCAGAAAATTATCGAAATAGATCCAAGTTAGTCCCAAAAGTAAATTTTGGCTTTTCAAAAGCCTACCTTATAGGCCCTTAGTTTCTTGTACTTCTTCTGTGTTTGTCTTAATTTTGGCCAAGAATACAATATAAGAGTGTATTTTTCACTGCAGGAGCTTATCCCACAACAATCTAAGTGGCTCCATTCCGAAATCAATCTCACTGTTGAAGAAGCTCGAGGTTCTAAAGTTGGAGGTGAACCAATTGAGTGGAGAGATACCCCAAGAGCTTGGAAAGCTGGAAAATCTTCTTATTGTGAATATATCGTATAACAGGCTCGTTGGCCGGTTGCCTGCAGGAAGCATTTTTCCGAACTTAGACGAGAGTGCAATGGAGGGAAATTTGGGTATTTGCTCACCCTTGTTGAAGGGGCCTTGTAAATTGGATGTCCCAAAGCCTTTAGTTCTTGATCCCTATTCCTATGGCAATCAAATAGGTGATCAAAACAGAAGAAACGGACATTCAGAAAGCACACGTGACGGATTCACACATCATAGATTCCTCAGCGTTTCAGCCCTTGTTGCCATATCAGCATCTGTGGTGATTGCTCTTGGAGTGATTTTGATAAGCTTATTAAACGCTTCTGTTCGGAGGAGGATTGCATTTGTTGAAAACGCGTTGGAAAGTATGTGCTCGAGTTCCACTAGATCAGGAAGCCTGGCTGCAGGGAAGCTTATTCTGTTTGACGCAAAATCTTCGCCTGATTGGATCAGGACTAGTCTTGAATCCATACTACACAAGGCATCAGAAATTGGCAGCGGACTGTTTGGAACCGTGTACAAGGCATCGTTGGGAGGCGATGAACGAAGAATCGTGGCAATCAAGAAGCTCATAACAGCCAACATTCTTCAGCATCAAGAAGAATTTGATCGTGAGGTTCGGGTTTTAGGGAAAGTAAGGCATCCTAATTTGATTCCCCTTAGAGGATACTATTGGACTCCTCAAATGCAGTTGCTTGTATCAGATTACACACCTGAAGGGAGCTTGCAATCCCGACTCCACGAGCGCCCGCCTATGACTCCACCTCTTTCATGGTCCATCAGGTTCAAAATTGTGTTAGGCACAGCAAAGGGACTTGCACACTTGCATCATTCCTCGTGTCCCCCTATTGTACACTACAACGTAAAGCCAAGCAACATTCTCCTCGACGAGAATCTGAATCCAAAGATATCAGATTTCGGATTGGCAAGGCTAGTAACGAAACTCGATAAGCACATTCTCAGTAACAGATTTCAAAGTGCACCAGGCTATGTGGCGCCAGAATTAGCCTGCCAGAGCTTGAGGGTCAATGAAAAATGCGACGTATATGGGTTCGGAGTGCTGATTCTCGAATTGGTGACAGGTCGAAGGCCGGTCGAGTATGGCGAAGATAACGTGATGATACTGGCTGATCATGTGAGGGCATTACTAGAACAGGGAAATGCACTAGATTGTGTGGATCCAAACATGGGAAAATACCCCGAAGACGAGGTTTTGCCTGTTCTTAAATTGGCGTTGGTTTGCACTTCTCAAATACCTTCCAGCAGGCCATCCATGGCAGAAGTGGGGAAAATACTGCAGGTGATCAATACTCCAGTTCCACAGAGGATGGAAGGATTCTAGTTACAAGATCAAATCAAAAAAATTTCAGTATTCTGTTATATATAGCTTTCTAATGTTTTATATGTTTATTGACAATCGTACCATTGCTCTTTTCTTGTTAGCTTGCGAGTTTTCTACCATGTGATGAGTTTTCTCCCTGACAATTATAGCAGTGCCCATCGTATTATTTCTATAACTTTTGCTTCGTTTTGGTCACTGTCTTGTCCAAAAGTTTAAGCCGATAAAGAGTGATGCAATCTGAATTGAGTTAGACTAGATGATGGGACTTTGTGGACAACACTATAATCCAAAAGTAATGGAATAGTCTTGATTAATAAAGTCAGATTTGAACAAATGACCTATAATGATCCAGTCTCCGTACCCAAGTAGTTAACTTCTATATTATCCATTCCAATTAGTATCAAAATTCTACTTATATTATTTTTAAGAAAAAAAAATCATGGGTTCGAATCTTAGAAACGCAATAAAAATCCGTGAGGGATAAGATAAATTCACTCTCTCCCAAAGTGAACGATATGTATGTAGAAAAGAAAAGAAAGTTTATTCAATAATTATTTATAGGCAAATGCGTCTAAGGAGTATAAAGAATTTTTTTTTTGAAAAACTTACGTTGTCCATAGTTGAAAAGATATATTTTTCGATTTATTTGTAAGCTAATTATTTTTATACTTCGATTTTCAGATCTTTGATCAATACATACTTAAGACTTGGGTTATCTTTGTGACTAACAAGAAATCATTATATTGAGAAAGAATTAAAAATATAATATCCTCTATTGAATTTTCAGTTAGCTGAACTAAAAGAGGAACCATCTTTATATCAAAATACTTGGAAAATTTGCAACATAAGTCCTCAAACTGTGCATGATGTATCATTTGGATCTTTGACCTTTATTTCTCGACATTCCACACTCCAATCCTTCAATTTTTGTAGCACTTTTAACATTCGTTCAACAATTTTCGTTCAGTTTTTTAACCATGAAGACCTATTCTCGTTCAACAATTTTCGTTCAGTTTTTTAACCATGAAGACCTATTCCATTTAGCTCCCAAACAGCTATATGTACAATCAAGATTTAACAAATTGTCATGTAAAAATAAAAACAATCAATTCAACTTCACAAAATCCTGCATTGCTACCAACATTATTCAGTTGCTGAAGAAAACAATACTAATTAAAATAACAGGTATTGTAAAAAGCCTCTCTCTCAGGCAAAAACACCTCTTTTAATAGTTGGGAGAGTTGGAAGCAATAAAAGAGATAAATTTGTGCTATTAGGATCCATGCTGAGAGGCCATATTTCAATAGAAAAGCTTCTGCACAATATTTAAACAAGCAACGATTCAACGACTTGCTAACCTCTCACTCTCCTTACCAGTCTTTCAATTCACTGATGGGTGCATATATCTTCGCTGCTCGTTCCTCAGCTTCGGTGTCATTCACTACACCTCTACATCTGGGGGTGCCACAGTAACAAGCAAGACGTTCATCAATTGAGAAAAACCTGCAGCATAAACAACTGAAAGTTAGCTCTTGTAGACAAAGATGAAATAGTGCAGTATAACTAAATGGGAAACCTGTAATCATATGTTAGTTCTTCCCACTGCTTAATTTCTCTTTTGGCAAAAATGATAATGTGCTCATCACCGTTGAGAGTTATGACCCTCGAGTAGCAATTTGGCTGCAAACACAACAGAGCATGTAAACATCCCATGAGGAACAAAACAACACAATCAATTTAAAGATAAACTATGTAAATAGCAGTGCCATAGGGTGCTTGCAAAACAAAAACCGAGATGCAAAAGTTACCACTGTCCACCCCTTCTCCCGGCCCAGGGTGCTAGGAATTCTAAAGATGTAAATTCATAGAAATAGAACCAACTCATGTAAAAGCTTAAGTTGTTAAAAAGGGAACACATTTATTTATTTGAAGTTGGTTTTCCACATTAGAAACAACAAATACTTGTACAAAATACACCTACAACGAAAGGTTGTAGGTAATAGATCGCCCCATACACACAAAAAACTCTGTTCTGTTGACATTAGCTCAAAAATGTCTTCTTTATTCATTATTAGCAAAGAACTTATTATCTAAAGCGTCTTTTAGGGAAAAAAAAAAGGATATTACTTCAATAGTAGTGGTAAAACTTCTCTAACGTACTTCACACGAGTGGTTGATCAAATTTGCTATGCTTCCCGCCCTTGTGGCATCAATAATACGTTCTTCATCAATTCGGAACATATAAGTTCCAGCACCCTGAAGCAAAGAAAACTGTTAAATGATTTCCCACAGCTTTTCTTATCCTTGAAGTCAGCATATCTTTATCGAAAACTACAGGACACTTATACTTAAAAGCATACCAGATGTCAAAGCTAAAAAATCCAATCAGAGTGTCCACATCAATATAATGAAATATACAACAAAGAAAGGACCCATACTCCCTTTAATATTGAAGAACAGAGAGACATGCAAGTCATAAAATCACTACATGAATGTATCAATTGTCTGGTATGTACTCTTACAGATCCTTACAGAAAGCATTTATAGCGAGTGTTTAGATTTAAAAAAAAGAAGAAAGAAAGATCTATTCAACAGATACACGCATATGCAATAATCAGAGGACCAAGAATGCCTCCTGGAGGACACAAGGAGCCTTACTGGTGATGTATAGCTACATGGAGCATTTTCTTTAGCAATCAGTCACTGCCCATCAAACTAAACATACAAGGTTCCAGGAATGCCAAATGCAAAATGGTGAATACACAAGGGTAACCATCAAAAATACAAAGTGCTTACCACTAATGAATTGTATGTCAAGTGTTCTCTCTTGTCAGCTACTAGAGGTCGAATAAGTTCACCGGTATATTCAATCACCTGTAGTACAATAAACCTAAAAATTTTCAAGTGTTTTATTGTTGAAAAGTTGTATCAAATAAATGGGGATTAAATCCATTTACCAAGTCTCCCGCTCTATGTGGACATTTAGCAAAGACGCCAAAACCATGTATACCAGACTTACCTGAATTCAACAACATTCTCAAAGGTTAATGACACGACAGATATAAAATGACAAACCTTTAACGACAAACCAGACACAAAAAAGTTCAAAAAGAGACTAGACCCTTTAATAACATGAAAAAAAAACTTCAAATCAAATGTATGGAATTGAACTCAAATGTTCTTATTCACAGAAAGGGACAAGGGGTTATACGAAGCCAGGTTGATAGGAAATATTTTTCAGGCCCTACTAATGCATCAATAACATGATTATCTGCCATCAGACATAAGTCTGGAAAACAAATGCAGCAAAGCATACCGATACATTTTCTCGCAGAAATAAAGAAAAAACAAACTGAAACCTGGAGCACAAAGATAACACAAACACACGTCAATCAACGAAAACAAGATCACTTGTTTTTAAGCATCTCCCAGATAAGGATCAGGAAATAAGGTGCATAAGATACTAGCATAGAGGTAAAGCTATCATGTCTAAAAAGGCATTGCATGAATTGTGGAGTACTGAAACTATTTACTTGATAAAGCAAGAGTTCTCCAGATTCTAAAGGTAGAGAAAGATATATAAATACCATGAAATTTCAATGCTTCCATGGAAACTAATAATCTAAGCAAGTCCTTTATCATACTCATTACAATAATATATCAAGATCCTATCAGTTCAAAATATTAAAACTTGAAATGGCAGATAGATGAGTGCAATTTCAATAGGAGCTAATAAACCAACAATGAAGAGAACATATGGGATTACGATGTACTGATCACCAGCTTAAATTAATATACGCTGAGATGTATAAACAGAAAACTATTGAGAGATACTCAGACGTTTTCCTCATTTCAAATATTATATGGCACCAGGGACAGATCAATTCCTAGAATGAGGAACCATTGAATTTCAATTTGATGATAAGGAAATGACGGAGTGCCATTGTGAAAAGATGTACAGGCAAGCAGAAAAAAAATGAAGGTATCCAAAATTTATGATTACAGCTCCAACGAAGAAAACAGAGCAGCAATTACCAAAAGAAGAAAAAACCAACCAACTTAACATGTAATCATAAGCAGTCAGAACAACTTTGACCATGAGACACAACTAGATGAACTAGGCAAATTCATGGTACAATGGACGGTGGTAAGACAGAAAGGAGTCAATGACAACCAAGGAAGACTGGAACGAGTAAACGGGGGAAAGCCATCTGTGGAGAAGCTAATAAAGACATTATGCAAACTATACCATGCAGGAAAAATTGCAAAAGCAGAAAATTATGTGTCATATGTTGTGTACTACATAAAAGCATCCCACAGGGAATTTTAGAGCTGTGGTCAAGTTCGACAAAATTATGCTCGATTCTAAACACTCCGTCACTTCATTCATTTTGGGAATGAAGTACAACTAAATTTACAAAATAACTAGATAACTTCTCTCCAACTAAAAATATGATAAATAGAAGTATTACTGCAACACCAGATTAAAACCAAAATAACATTAACAGGTGCAAAAATTTACCAAATGCCAGCCTCTTTTTAAAGGTTTCCCTCATGTATTTGTACTTCTCAGCCATTGAAAGAACATTACTAAACGGATCGAGTTGAGAAGTTTTTAGCTTCTGAAGGTCAATAGAATATTTAGAACCAGAAAGAGAAATGGTTGATATTTTGTTCCCCAACGACATATGGGGGCTGTAGCCACCAACCAAGTATGGTTTGTTCTCCACATACAGGCGCTTTGATGAAGCTGTAGCGAGGACTTCAGGTTCCCTACTCCCTCGCCTTCCGAAACAATTATAGGGCTCTATCCACAAAGTCAAACAGAAATCAGATATCAACAATGACAGAAAAATGTACTACGATTTAGAGTAGCAGTTATACAAAAAAATCCCAAAGCTGTAATTGAAGGCTTTTCTGCATCTTAAATGCAAACAATCGAGTTCCAGTAAAAAGAACAAGAAACGGAAAAGCGTACAAGAAAAGTTACAAAAAAAAAAGAAAACCCAAATGGACAGTCTCTAATACTTGTTGAAACCTATAGATTTTAAGATACATTACCTCTACATTGAAACAGAGTCAACAAAAAGTTGTTGGCTATTGCATTTTCTTCTGAAATTAGTGTCCATGTATTTGAACACAAAACTCACCTGGAAAACATGAAATTCCATCCAAAAATTCCTAAGACAGTTATATTTGTGCAGACACTACAACTTCGGTGGTTGATGAGTGAAGTATACACAAAAACTCTTAAAGTTGGCACATTCTTGAGGACCTATGATGTCCCCTATCTTAAAGAACAGAAAACTCGTCTGGAAGGGGGGTAAGGGTAAGAAAATTCCATGTAATATTTCGTGGAACAGGTAAAAGTAAGTCAGAATATCAAATATGGTGACTGGTGAATCAACGCGTAAATAAAATCTGAAAAGCCAGCAGACAAGCAAGAAATCAGAAGATAAAATAAAGCCCAAATAGGCATTTATCACCACTTTGAACATGTATTGATGCTTAACAAAGTCTGGCACATGTTGAACATGCACATTTTTACCAACTGAATATCTAGGCTATCAATTTAACAGGTAAATTTCTTCACCGAAGATTAAGAGGCCTGAGACTTCCACCAGTTAGTTGGTTTCTATCTCCTTTTTTAACTATAGTGATGAATTCAGAATCTCATAAGAAGCCAACTTCTTGTTGCCATCCCCAAAGCTTTTTAGCATAGCCTTGAAAAAGAATTAAGAAGTAAAGCTAGAACCTATATTGCCACAATCCTTGATTAAGGCTCAATTCGCTATCACCTTAGCTTTTTATAATAGCCTTGCAAGAAAATCAGGCAGTAGAGCAAGTGAACTATTTTGGCTTCAAACCGTAGTAGTTACAGCAGTACTTGGAATGATACGAAAAAGAATTCCGAAGAAATAGATGAAGCGACAGATCTTCAAAAGAGCTAACTGAATTGCAAAGGGTTGTAAACTTAAAAAAAAAAAACTCCGTAAGAATCTGTATTCAATTAATATTCCTTGTGTTCTCATGAAGTGAGGGACTTCATAACTTTACTAAGCTCTCATAAACTCTCAAGTTCTTCCTTTCTTTCTTCCTTTTCTTCCAACGTTTTCTCACTTCCCCTTCTACATCTTTTAATAACCTATCACCATTTTCCTAGCTTTTTCCTCATGAAATTAAAAATAACCCCAAACAAAATAAAGTGTAGAATGCAAGTTGTGTGTGCAATCCATACACTAATTATTCAATTGAACCACCACCCTTACAAGCATTAATATATATGTTAAGGTAATCGAGGATATTATAACAATGGGAAACATAGAACATGAAAGCGCACCAGTGCGAGCACAGCCTGTAGGATTTAATGGAGGAGTGTAGTCTGCATGTTCACAAGCATTTAGACCAAACCGCTCATTAGAAAACAAACGTTTTTTGGATACGGGCCTATGTCTCCTACAGTAGGATAGTAGCCGAATGCACTGATCCTCCTCATCCTCATCAAAATGAATCATATGAAGTCTATCCTCATACGCAGGCTATAAAAAACAGAAAGTAGAAGAATATGTAAAAAAAAAAACATATATTAGCAGTTATTAACTAAAAAAACAAAAATATAACCGTACAGATATAGCAAATGCTCATATAGAATGCAATTATTCACCCAGACATATGTTTCAGTGAATATGAGAGAACTTGATACCTCAAGGCAAAAGCCAGCAGCACGTGCACAAAGAGGATGATAAGCTACATGACAATTATTATTTGAGCACTGCAAAATGGCAATGATGAACGATATTGGCAACAAACAACAATAACAAAAATAAAAAGGTAAGTTTACATCGAAAAATCAAGTGATATATTGTATGCATGTGGGTACGAAGAGCAAACTATGTATAACATTGCTCCATATCAAATTACCAAACTAATTGCCCCCATTATCTCTTGACCAGAGCCAAATTTGTCCACCTAAAGTGAAAATGTACATCATAACGAAAGAAAAGAAATTCTTATTATTTGGTAAAGATTGAGAAGAGGAATTAAACTAACAGATTAATGTTGCCTCAACAAAAAGGCTCTATTCGTAGAAGAAATGCTAGGTCAAATCCAAAAAAGCAACATTTCCAATAAATGGAGGACTCAACACAACCATGTGTGTGCTCACAATGATTTTCTTTGTGAGACACTGATACCTTTATGTGACCTCGCTATTTCCGTTCCTAAGAAGTATCGCAATTGTCCCAGATCTTTTATTTCAAATTCAACGGCTTAACTCTTCTTTAGCTTCTCCATTTCTATTAAGTTGTCAGTTGTTAAGATTATGTCATCAATATATACAATTAAGATTGTTTTAATCCCACTTTCAAACTGTTTGAAGAACATAGTACCTTTGCGAATCTGTCAAACTATGCATTAGGTGATTGTTTGAGGCCATACAATGACTTCTTAAGCTTACATGCTCGATTCATCTCACTTGCCTTGCAAAAACCTGGAGGTGGTGTCATGTAAATCTCTTCTTCCAATTCTCCATTTAGAAATGCATTCTTAATGTCTAGTTGTTGTAGAGGTCAATCTAGGTTTGTTGCCAATGACAAAAGTACTCAAATAGTATTCAATTTTTCCAGTGCAAAATTCTCAGTGTAATCAATACCATAAGTCCGTATGTATCCCTTTACAACCAGTCGAGCCTCATACCTTTCAATTGTCCCATCAACTTTATATTTTAAGGTAAAGACCCATTTGCATCCAAATGATCATTTTCCTTTAGGCAAATCCACTACTTCCCAAGTTTTATTATTTTTCCAATGCTCGCATTTCTTCCATCACTGCTTCTTTCCACTTCGGAATTTCTAAGGTTTCCTAAATATTCTTTGGGACTTTGGTACGATCAAGGTGAGAGGTAAAACTACGGAATTTTGTAGATAGAGCATTATATGATAAACTTTGAGATATGATGGAGAGTACACGATCGAGTTTGTTTTCTGAGTGCAATGGAAAGGTTAATGACTGATGATTCTGGCATATTTGTGATGTCATGTGGTTCTGGATCTATCATTGGTTCTGACTCTTTTGGTTCTTCAGGTGTGAGGTTCTCCTTATGCCTTGCTTTTGGTGTTCATGAGTAGACAAGCATTTCATTTTAACTTTGCATTTCTGCATCTCCCCCTGAATTCAAGTTTTCCCCAGCCGCGCATATATAGAAGAACTAGATGGTAAAATAGGCATCGAGATGGGTTCCAGGGAAGGAGATCTAGATGTAGGTACTGATCTTCACTTTGATCCTCCCCTTGAAGGGAGGTTTTGTAGAAGTATGAAGTGTTTTCAAAGAATGTGACATCCAAGCTAACAATTACTTTCCTTGTGAAATGATCATAACATTTGTATCCTTTCTGAGTAGGAGTGTATCTAATAAAGACACATTTGACTGCTCAGGGATCGAGTTTATTATTGTGATTGTTGGGAATGTGGACAAAGGTGGTACAACCAAACAGTTTGAGCGATAAACTCAAGTTGAGTTGAAAATTAGGGAAGGAGTTTTGGAATTTAGTAAGAGGGGAGTCGAAGTTTAAGGTACGATTAAGCATTCGATCGTTCAGGTGGGTTGCTGTTAAGATAGCATCACCCTAGAATTCTTTTTGTATATTTGTAGTAAACATTAAGGCTCGAGCAATCTCTAGAAGATGTCTATTTTTTCGCTCAGCAATCCCGTTTTCTTGGGGAGTTTCAATACAAGAACTTTGATGAATTATCCCATGCGTTCGAAGAAAATCCCCGAAAATTTTGTTGAAGTATTCTGTGTCATTATCAGTACTCAGAATTTGTATATGGGTTTCAAATTGGGTTTGTATCATGGAGTGGAAATTGATAAACGCGGATCGAAAGTCGAATTTTTCTTTTAAGAGATAAACCCAACAAAATCGAGTATGGTTGTCGATGAATGTGACAAACCATTTTGTAAGAGTTCGATTAGGTATCCATGAGAGACCCCATACATCAATGTGGATCATTGTGAATGGTTTCGATGGTTTATATGTGGATTTTGGGAACAATGTTCTTTGATGTTTAGCAGGGCCGCAAAATTCACATTGAAAATTGACGTGCTTTGTATTCAGAAAAATAGAAGGAAATACATGTTTCAAATACTGAAAATTGGGATCCCCATTCTAAAATGTCATAACAAGATTTCACTATTACTCGGAACAGATGTAGAATCACAAACGGCAATTCGATCCTGTTTACTCATATCAACTTCATCAAAGTAATAGAGCCTCATACATTCCTTAGCACTATCAATCGTCTTCCCCGATGATAGGTCCTGAAAAATACAGTGCAGAAAGGAATTTAGCAGAGCAATTCGATTTCTTTGTCAATTGCCTTATAGATAGTAAATTACAGGATAAATTGGAACATGAAGAACAGATTCCAAAGTGATAGAGTCAGAGATGCAAATACTCCCTTTCTGGCAACAGACAAGAGGGAACTATCTGCAATTTTAACTTCGAAATTTCCAACACGAGTTCAGTATGAAGAAAAAAGGTGGTAAGAGTCCGTTATGTGGTCCGATGCTCCGAAGTCAATGATCCAGGGAGTTTTAAATTGAGAGGTGACGCTTAAAGCTTTTAAGAAATTACCTCTATGGGCAAGTAAGCTTGAAGGCCCATTTGGGGAAGATTGACAAGATGCTTGAAGGCTAGAGAAGATTTTGTAAAGTTGCACTATCTGTTCATGGTTGAATGTACTGCTCGAAGTGGGGTTTTTAGTTTCCTGACCAAATGAAGCTTCGTATCCTCGATTTCTATTACTTTGCCTCGGTTTTCAATCGACTGGTTTTCCATGCAAATCCCAACAGGTGTCTTCTTTGTGTACCGGCTTACAGCAATATTCACACCAGGGTCGTCCCTTTTTGTTATCTTGGACTCGACCCATTTAGCCCCCCTTCAAATATAAGCCCAAATGTTCAACCAGTCCATTTTTTGAGTTTTCAGCAGGCCCATCATTAAAAAATCCAGCCAGTCCAAGTTTAGAGGAAAAGCCCATATTTTTTGGCCCAACTTCACTGCCTCTAAACGGTTGTGGCCCAAACTTGGGATGCCCATTGCCCTTCAACATTAAGGCCGACATCTCTAATTCAGCAGGCCCATTTTTTCCTTTGTTCAACATCACTGTTCGTAGATTCTCCTCACGACGAACCCCCGAGAAGACCTCACGCATCGACAATAACGGGTGGCGGACAAGGCTTCTTCCTATGACGTCATCTAGTTCACTGTTAAGGCCAACCGGAATTCAGACTCCCTCACTCTCCAATTTTTTCTGGTATCACGAGCAGTCAGTCGGGCATGCCCATTCTTCTTATGTGCTCAAATCCAATTCCTGCCATAACACCACCATCTCCATGTAGTAATCAATTACTTCCCTATCTCCTTGCTTGATTTGCCAAGTATAGTTTTAATTTAAAAAATTTGGGAAGCATTCTCTGAATTGGAGTAGGTGTCTCTCACAGCATCCCATACATCTTTTGCGGTTGGCAAGAACAGATTTTCTGATAGATGGGATCATAGAGTTCACGAGCCACGCAATCACCAAGGAATTTTTTGAGTTCCACCTTTGCAAGCGGGGCAGCTTCGATTGAGGCGGGCTTTTTCAAGTCCCCGGTCAGGTATCTTAATTTCCCTTTTCCGTGGATTATTAGTTTGATGGATTGGGCCTACTCTCTGAATTTTTTTCCGTTTAACTTTTCTATCGTGAGTTGGAAAGAAGAATTATTGATTCCTCCCGAACCCACAGAGGGGATGGTCTATGTTTCGCCATCGATTGACTCGGAGGTCATTGACCCCTTACTGGTGCCGACAGTGTCTGTCATGGCTTTAATAACATGTAAACTGAGAGATTTGATGAGACAGAATCTTTATTTTCTCATAGTGAATAATACAATGACAATCATCTTAAATAGTACACATGAAGGGTTAAAATAAGGGAAAAAATATTTCTAAATCCTAAATTGTCCTAATAATCAATTACAATAATTACAATCTCCCTATAAATGCAACTGTTAATTATGGTAGTGAGGATATTTTCATATCCAGGATTTCGACAATGTATGAAGAATCTGTTATGCCATAATTCAAAAGATGTGAAATAAGAATGAATAAGCAGATAACAAATGAACAGACAACGAGAAAAATGGAAAACCTAACCTGAATACATGCTCCACGAGCAACGCGACAAATGCTGCATAACAGCTTCCAGCGGTTCTTTAAAATCCAAGAGAGAAAAAGAAACAATCACAATATCTCCAATTTGTATGTTGATGCATCTTTTCCAGTTGAATTTATCTTAATTATACTATATAAATAAGTTATCCCTATTTAATAGCGAGGTAGGTGCACCTTCAGAAGGCATAAACAAAATAACTTGCAAACAGAAGGCCTTTAAAAAGAATGACATACAAAATACTATTAAAGAGATGATACCTTATTTATTCTACTTATTCCATCGATAGGCTCCATTTTGTTAACATCAGATAAGCAAGTTTCTGCAATAAAACTAAATGAGTCAACAAATCAGAATAATTTATTGGAAATAAAATTACAAACTCAGAAGAAAACCTGGTATCCATATAGCGCAAGCGAGATGAGCCCAACGGCCATCAGTAGTAGGTTTCATAGCTCCTCCTAAAAGATTATACACACTATCAAATATGGTTTTTGATGATCATATACAGTTAATACCTCAAATATAAATTCAAAGGAAGGTCTAAGTACCTGCAAGCGGGCACAAGCAGCATTGAAGGTTGTCAGTAGCCCCTAGACGACATAAGTTGCATAACCAAAGAACACCACTATTAGGCTCCGATTCCCCATAGCATTTTGCATGAACCTTAAAACAAGTTACAAGTGTACCACAAAAAAGCAAAAAAATGAAAAGGAGAGGACAAAAAGAACAAATTATATTATGAAACCTCAAAGAAAGATGAAAATACACCGGGACATGGGATAATCAAAATAAAACTACAGCCCTGAATATATCTATATTTTAAGAGATAGTACAACCTCTAGATCCCATGGTAAGTCTTTTCAACTAGAATTTTAGACATGCTTCTCAAACGTAAACTAGATATTTGACCAAAATTTTCGATATTAAAAAATGTGAATATTAGTTTTGTTTAGATACACCAATTGTTTTTAGATGTGTATTATTGCATTATTGAACTGATAAGTATATTTTATACACTTATTCGAGCTCTAAAATATTGACATTTCGTAATTCTTTTAATGGAATTATAGCATAATTTATTATATAGTGTTATTAGGTGAAACTTGATGAATGGAAGTGGAATTGAAAGAAAAAAGCAAAAAATGGCAAGATCAAATACTCAAAAGTTGTGTCGGAACTCACGATGAAGACTCGAGAATGCTAGGGGTCAATTCGATACAATTAGAAGTCAAAAGGAGTGAAAATATGGCCAAAATATTTTCACAAATCAATTTTCAACCGCACAAGGACGTTCAGATTTTTAGTTGAAGATTGAGACACATTTTTAGCCCAGTAAACGTTTGAATTGAAAATGAGCTACTTCTAGCAAAATTGTAGCCCTTTGAGTTATCTTTCAAACGCATTTTGAATCGCCTTAATCGAATATCGAAAGAAAAAGTTATGACAAAAATACTAAAGAAAACGCAGAGTTTAGAACCGCAGATTTTAGGGTTATGCTGTTTTTTGCCGCGAAAAGCCCAGAAAAGCTCTAAATTTCGAGAGAATGTGTAGGGGAGTATAAATAAAAGAAATTAGGCACTTTTATAAAGTTTCATATTAAGAAAACAACAATACAACGAGAGATTGGAGAACGCAATTCAACGGAAAAAAATATCAAAAAACTCAAATTTTGAAGCATTGATTGGAAGAGGAAGTACATTTTAGTGCAAGCTTTGTTTCTTTTTCTACAACTAAACTATATTCAAAACCCGGTGATATATTCAATAACTTCTTGTTTTTCTCCTTCCAAGATTATGAGTGGCTAAAATTTATATTAGGGCGAACGATGTAATCTACTTGAAACCCTTTATACATTTTATTAAAGATTAATGTTATTTTATTCATATATGTGTTGATTTTTGCTATGCGTTTAATGTATTAAATTACTTGATCATTAATTTAATGATTTAGTAAATCTTTTACAAATCGAGAGTGAGTTTGAGATTTAGACCATCATTCTGTTTGGTAGCCATTTTTCAGACCAAAAAATGCATTTTTTGCCTGCTAGGAATCAAATTCAGCCAACATTTTTTACTTTCCCCCTCATAGCCATCTTTTTTGACTTCTTCAACGGTCATTTTTTCTTCTTTTTTGCTGAAAAATGGCTACAAATAGCCTCCATATAGTAAAATCCGATAAATTATTACGGTCGGAGTATGAATTCTTAGAACTAGTATTTCGTTCAACTAACGTTGATTCATATAGAGATATNTTTATTGCTCTGATACCATGTAAATAACGAAATATTTAGTGAAGAGAAAGTTATGATCTTTCCCTCCTCAACTTCATTATATAGAAAAGTCCATGAGTACATAGTATGGAAAGTTGGTAAATAAAGAAACATAATAACCTATAATAATATGCTTCCCTAATATACGAGATTCCTATTTTATTTTCTTAACAGGAATAATTGAATCAATTGTTAAATAGTAGTCATCGTAGGAACAATATCCCGGAATCATAGGTCTACAATATTACTTGTTACGATTCGTACACTTGTGGAATATAAAAATCGACAACGTGAGCTTTCTGTAACTATAAACAAGATGTCATACTAACAATCAATTTAACTCAAACTGATATGATTAATATATCACAAGACTATAGTACCACCATAGAGTGGGCTTGAGTTTCACAGACCAGCTAGGTGGAATTAAGCAAGTAATTTGATCCATAAGAATGAGCCACAGCCAATGTGAAGCAACATAACATTTAATGATCTCAATTCAAGGTTCAAAAAAATAGCAACTTCATGCAGTTACAAAAAATTCGAAGCATGAAACTCCCTAAATGCTTGGTTCCAAAATTGCAATAACGGTGTAATGGACAATGAAAACTTAGTATCCAATTCGTTGCCTACGAATAGCATATTTGCTATATGGATGCATCTTATCACAGCGAACAATTTATTCTTCTTACAAGCAGGAGAATATTAACAAGAATAGAATGCGGACTTACCATCATTCTGCATTTATCACACTGCAAGAACAAATTATTCTCGTACTCCTGAGACAGAGAATCAACATCAGAAGATTCCAACATATTAGATATCAGCTTTGCTAGATAATAATCGAGAAAAACGACAAATAAGGTCATTCGACATCTTTCAAAATAAGAAGGTATTTTTTCAATGCAATTCTTCCTATTTATGCAATAGTATACATTTTAAGAAAATATATCAACAAACAGCAATAGCCAACTTCAAGCTTGAGAGTGGGAAGTGCAAAATTCACCCTTTCAAAAATAGAAAGCAGATTTACCTCATCCATATGGCAAACATTGCACTTATCAAGGTCCTTCCATTCTACATGAATAGGACTGTCAGTAGAGGACAGGCTTCTGCTTCGTTTAGAAGAAGTCTGGGAGGATTTGGAGAAAAATCTGCCATCGGATAATTCCTGTCAATACCAAAAACATTAATATTAAGAAAAGCATCAAAGATGATGAGCACATAGAACCTCATAACTCTGAAAGACTTGAATGCCATCTTTCATAATGGGAAAGCACTGGAAACAAAACATCAAGCATTTACTGTTTCATTTACCAAACAGTAACCAGATTACAAATCACATATCATACATCATAATGCTACTTGAACCTTGTGGCTTCACATGCAAGGAAATAAAAAGAATTTTTGACCCCCTTTTTTCCCAAAACTCATTTTTCCAAAATTCATTTTCAGCCACACTCCCATAAAATAATTTTACATGTAAATCCAAAACCCTTCCCCATTTTTTAACCACACATTCTCCACAAAAAAAAAAAAAAATAACTATTCCAAAACACATCCATAAAGGAAAGTTATTTAGACCCCTCTAAAGCTATATCTATATCAAATATAATGGAAAATTAGCACATAACAAAAATTAGTGTCAAACAAAAACCTTCAAATTTAAAACTTGAAAAAGGGAAAAATTGCATTGGGATTCCACTAACCTATTAGCAATGTAACACGTTAGTCCCCAATATTTTGTGAAATTTAGGAAGTTCTTGTATATTGTACTTGTAACCAAGTCCACATAATTTAGTTGGAATCACAACAAGACAGCTTCGCTGTTCATGTGACATACCATTATGAGTTTTGAAACTTCCGGGTGCGAAAAACCGTACATATCAGATCCAGATTCAAAACCCCGTTCAGGTTCAACTTCAGCTTCACAATCAGGACGGCTTATTTGCACCTTCCTCGTTCTTTTGCATATTTTATTCCAGCAAGCAGATGGAGTGGACCCCTTAAACTGCAAAGAAGTTTGTCGCACAAAGAGTAAAGCTGCATTAAGCAGATCTAAACTAACCTGCAAATGTAAATTCGAAGGAAAAGATGAAATGTGTAGGAGTAATCATTGTGAAATTTAAATGGTTCGTTTTATCCTGTTTTAATCATGTCCAATTACCCGGTTAACAAAAAGAAATTCAAATGTCATGTCAATTCAAAAATTAAAAAAAAAAAAACTAGTAATAAATAAGGAGAAATTAGTACAAGAAGCCACGGTTATATCCTCCGACGTCAGTGAAATCACACGGCAGGGTTATCAATATCCAAAGGAAAAAATTGGGTGTATCGTATGAGAGGCTCGAGTTTAGTAATGAGTAAGGAGAAATTAGTACAAGAAGCCGTATTAGATCCTCCGACATCAATGAATGAGCACGGCGGGGTTATCAATAGCCAAAGGAAAAAAATTGGGTGTGATGAATGTGAGGCTTGACTTATGGAATTGGTCGAGAAATTCTTTATCGACCTAAAGCTAAAGAATTTCTATTTTAAACATGTACACGCCGGTCCCCTTCCTCCTCGGTCAAAACAAAGCACAGATCAAATCGAAAAGGATTTTATGCAATTAAAAGAAAATTGTAAAAGAGAGTACCAGCAGAAAAAACCAATTAGCTCAATACCAATGGGTGTGCTAAAGAGCTGGTGGCAACTGAATACTTTTCGAACCTAACCCAGGCTTTTGCCAACAACCTTTCTTTCAAAATCCAGTGGCTAAAACTAGCAAAAGTCCATGAACAGCTAGAAGGGCTTGAACTGACAGTGGCTCAAAACATTAAGAGGAAATAAAAATTTTTGTAGGAAGAGGTGGTCCTCAACCCTATGATCCTTAAATTTGGAAGGAATGATGGGGCCTACTTCAAAAAACAATAAGGCAAAGAAAGATTAATGGAATAGAAACCTATGGTACTTTTTCCTTCTCATTCTAGGGGCAGCTCCTCCAGAGGAGCCCGAGAAAATATATCCAATGGCTACTGTTGAGAGTACAGAAAGACAAAACCTGTTTAAAGAATGCGACTTTGGAAAGAACAAAAAGGCTATAATAAAGGAAATAAGACCTAATTTTACGCAAGAGACGTGTAGTCCTCAATAAATGCACATTATACTGCAATAAATATAATAAATTAGTGACTACCAGAAGCCGATTGGATACATTGAATGTCACTCTACCAACTTGAAATCACCAATAATGATTAGAAAAAAAATGATCCTCATCCTTCAAAAATAAAAAAGGGTAAATCATGGGATATTAGATGAGGATTTAGAAGTGCTGACAAATTCATTATTTTGAATCAAGATAAATGCGCTACATATACCTCCTCTCCATTGTGTGATGTAACTCTAAATAGAGGTTTAGTCCTTGAGTCAGCATCTCTCAGTACTTCCATCTTATATAAGGTACATGCACTTGGATCTGATGCCCAAAAAATCAACAAGAAAAACGAAAAATTTGATGAAGTCAAAAGTTTAAAGCTTGTTTCGCAAGTTTTCATAAATGATTTTGTTTATAGATAGATAGAATTGAGTAGTAGATGAGTGGATAGTACTGGTGGGTTTCACGAAATGTGCGAATAAAAATTGATTTGACCATTTTTATTCATAAACGTTTTAAACACTTGCCAAACATGTGCTTAGATGTCAAGGAACCGAATTAATTAAGATTTGCATTAAACTAAAAGGAAAGTTCAAATAACAACCCACCTGTTGTTGAAAGAAACTTCCTCATGGCAGTATAGCCTCCGGCCATATAAATCTCTCATCTTGGAAATTATCAGTCTTTGAATCTTTCCTGCATGACATCACAGGGCCTCGTGACATTCATTAGATGAGTTGTTAATTGCAATGGAGAAAGGTACTTTATTCATATATAAAAATGAAAATTACTAAAGCGATGCAACCAAATAGGTCTCTCATTTATATCCTCTGATGTTGTATAAAATGCAGGTATTTAACAATTGAACAATAAAGGGAAGAACAGAAAATCCTAGGTTTTGGAACCACAACAGCCCAACTACAGCTAATTACAGGTCCTCGTGCATATAAAATCAGATGACAGTTGAGACATGAGCCATTAAGTTATCTAATAAAAAGTAACAACATTCCCATGCAACATAGTGCACTGCAGTCTTTATTCATCACGCAGTAGTGTTAATGTATCGAGATTAACCAAGGCTTAGAAATCACAACTCCCCTCCTTCAAATGGGGAAGTTTTAAGGTCTTCAAGTTTCCTCCGTATCTGTTTATTGCCCACACTCTTCTCCAACTGATTCTTCGTCCCCTCCATTTTCGTAATCATGATCATCACCTGCAACACCATCTTGCAGTCGCAACATTCTTTTCTGAAGCTTCTGTTCACTAAGATACCTGATCAAATTCAAAGACACTTCAATTAGTTTCTTGAAGAACTTCTACTCTTACTCAAATCCAACAAGTAAATGACAATAACAAGAAATGTCATTCTAGCCAGGCTGCTGAACATACTCTGGACATGAAAAACATTGTCCAATTAAACATTTACAATTTACAGATGATTGAAAGCTGGGACGCTACCAATTTTCATGAGGAAATGAAAATTATCTACATATTTAGAGACAGAGAACCAGCAAGAAATCAGGAACCAAATTTATCCAGATGTGTGCTAGGACACATAATTAGCAAAAAACATCCATAGTAACAGAATCCAACAGATTTGACACACTCCAAATTTCTATCCACTAGGAGTCTGGATATTCTTTTAATTGCTTACAACTTCCAATAAATCAACACTCATGACGCAATAAATGAATTTAATTGATTTTCTGAGATAAGCAAGAATAATGACACTCGAATAAGATCTCATTCTTTCTACACGAGATTCCAAATACCAAATCTGTACAAGAAGTCTTAGTATACCCCTAACCGAGCAAACCCCTTCCTCTTGTTCTCCGTACCCATTATGATCTGCTGACTAGTTAACTGTAGGATCCATGATATAAAATGACATCATATAGAATGGATCAACTGAACTAGGCTCAGTAAAAGAACTGCATAATTCAAAAGTGAATTGTGCCAATATGTGCACATATTAAGAGCCAGTTTGAGCCCCATTGGGAGAATGCATTTTGGAACAGTAGATTGATGGAAAATGTATGGTTAAAAAATAAGAAAATGTTTGTAGTTTGCGTGTATAATTATTTTATTGAAAAATGTGTGGTCGAAAAGAAGAGGGGGAAATTGTATTTTGAAAATAATGGGGATTAAACAAGGGCTAAAACACATAGATTTAACATATTATGAAGTAAGCAGATCATACTGTTGTCACATAGTAAAATGATAAGGAATAACTTCGGCATATGAATATTATGTTCCTCTTTCCACCTAATTCTCCCTCAACCGTACAGACATCTTCATCACAAAAAACTAAAATGTACAATTCAGATACAGTCAAAAGTTAAAGTCTCGATCCCCAACATACAGCATTTGAACTTTCAATTTTTTTTTACAGAACCCTTGTAATTAAATTTGGCAGTGAGAATCATAATACATGTCATATTTAAACCTCATAAGCTACGGTGCATCGACACGGACATGTGTGTCCGACACGATACGTATCGGATACGCTGACACGCGATTTTTAAAAAAAGTACAAGCACGACACGTTGATTAAATTTTTAAAAATTATTTATTTATACTAACCCAGTCGTAAACTTCAAGATCTCGTGGAATTAGTCGAGGTGCACACAAACTGACTTGGACAGCCAAATTATCAAATAAAAAAATATAGTATAAATTTGATTTTATACCTGTTATTAATTTTTCTTACGAGTACATATTTGTTACTTGCTAATAATTTTGAATTAACAATATATAATATTTATAATATAAAAGGAAAAATGATTACTGTAGAGTGTCCGAGAAGTGTCGGTATCGACTCGTATCCGACACGGACACGCTACCCTAATTAAAGTGTATGTGCTACAGAGCTCATAAGTAATTGATAAATAGAAGAAATATGAACTTTAAGAAACTCAAGTGAACAAAACATACATTTTTTCTTCCTCCAATGCTCGAACAAAATTTGGTTTCTTGTACTTCAGGTGACAGGAAGAAAGAAGCCCTTGGAGAAATGAAATAACTTGTTTTCTTGTAAACCTGAAGATCAAAATACGGAAATTGTATTGGACAACCTAAACCAGCCTGATGATGTTATTTATTAACAGAGGATTTCCTGCCTGATGGAAGTGGAAACAAATAAATTCCTGTGAACTCGTTAAAAATTACATACCTAGAAAAATCATGTGTACCAAAAAATTGAACTGGTACTGATTTTCCTCTTGAAATTCTATTTAGACCTTTGAGTTTACCAACAAGAGATTCACCCAAAATGATTGAAGCCCACATAGCATGTCCTGTGTCAGATACAATGTAACATGGACATTGATCAGTAGCCAAAATATGAAAACAAATGTGCAACCTCCCAGAAAGTTGCACTTGCACCCAAACAAGAAGATATGAATTATCAAACTACATAAGCAAAATGAAAAGAAGACAGAGATGCATCACACTCTCAGAACAACGCAGCAGAATACTATGCCTTCGTTTATTTCAGAAAGAATCAACAGAAATTATAAAATCCAAAGAAAAACATTTTCATTGTTGAAAAATGTATTTTTAGCTAATACTGCACAGCAGCTAATGATTGTGTGAATAAAGAAACTGCAAGATGAAAGATTGTCGGCCTTTTAAATGCCAATAGTCGTCAAATTTGGAAAGTCAAGCAAGGGTTGGGTAAGAGTTTCTGAAAGTTCAATGGAGACCCCAGTTTCGCTGAATCTGAATCAGGTGTCGTAAATCTTAACTTATGTAGAAAAAACTTTTTTATCAAAAAAGGTAGTGAATGTGACATTCATCTTCCTTGTAATTAAATCTTTATTTCTACTGGGTGTACCGTGCTTGTTCTATCAGTTGGAGTAACTATAACAAGAAGTAAATTTCGTCATAGTGCTTCGATTTCTAGCATCAGTCTATAACTTCTCCAGGGCAAGGACGAAGTAATGTTTGAACAACCTCTAAGGAATATTTTTCTGTTTCACTATTTCCCACCTCGATAATCATTGGAAAGTAGTCCAGATCTATGTCTTGATTATAAAGATTGAGAAATGACAAGTTAACAAAACGAGTATTTCTTACATCTTTTTCTCATCATCACGAGTTTTACATGTTCAAATCTAGAAATTTCATTAATTTAGATGCTAATCATTATATTAATGCATGATAACTGCAGAAAAAATTTAGATGACCATCCTTATATTTTAATTAATGTGAATGAGAATGAGAGCAGTTTTAGTGTCTTCATGGCCTCTAAATCTAAAGAGTTTGTGGCATTTTTCTTTAGCCCCTTTTTGGCTCCATTAAAATTAGTTTTTAGGAATAAATATATTTTGAAATAGTGATTTTTTGGAGAATGTGTAGTTAAAAAATATGAAAAAGTTTTGGATTTACATGTAATATTATTTTATTGAAAAATGTGTGATTGAAAAAAATAAAAATTAAAATACATTAAAATTAAAATTAAAATGGAGCCCAAACAAAGACTTATTTGTTCTTCGTTGGAAAGAATTACTTTTTCCTATATCATTTTATTTTTGTGGATAGAGGATGTCATGTGTTCTTGCTAATATTTACTTTATTTCTTTGATTAATAAGATTATTATTTCCTACCAAAGAAAGTTGTGGCTTTTTAGAGTTCTTTTCTTCATTAATATGAGAGGTACATTTGGTTAATTTAAATGAAATTAATATCCTTCATTTCTTAATTTTACTTTTTGAATGCGATCGTTTCTATTTTTCTTAAACGGACAGACTTATGTTCTATGAATCATTATTTTCTTACTGGGAAACCTAAACGTGTGCTACAAATTACTAGGAGATTTTCAACCATGAAAATCATGAATGGTTCTACAAGTTTCTTGTATCAAAGCTACATGCTATAAAGTGCATTGCAGATTTTCCAATTATAAATGAGTATTTATCAGCTTTCACAAACCACAAATCACCGTATGCATGCTCCAATGTGCAATAAATGCGCTGTTTGACATGTAATTGACAGTAGCAGCTCATTATTATTGGATGACCAATAACCATCATCTAACATCTTTCTGCATGACTTCTTCAAGATCAGTAAATTTCAAAGCATAAGCAGGTAGGTACAAAACAACATATACCAAGATCATCTAAACATAAGATCCACTAAATACATGTATTTTCATCCTTCGTAAAATCAAGAGCACACAAAGACATACCACTGAGGTGAGTACCCGACCGTAAACTTCAGGGCCCCATGGGATTAGTCGATGGCCCCGTGGGATTAGTCGAGGTGCGCGCAAACTGGCCCGAACATCCACAGTTATCAAATATATATATATATATATATCCCCAGGCTCAAGGTCATGGCAATCATCTAAACTAGCAGCCAAGGCCACCATCTCATTCACATCTACTCCATCAAATTCTGAGCTCTTGTCCCTGCACCTCAATTGCAAATTTCACATCTCCTCACAAGATACATAAAACTTGACTCTTTCATTTGATAAATTCAAAATCTCTTCATCTCCATCCTCATACTTCACCTATACTTGCTCAACTGTTAACAAAGTGAACGTCGATAATACCACATGCATACTCACAATACAAGAATAGCACGAACTATCGAGGTAAAAGATCATTACATGGTGCCTGGAGGTTTCAGAATTGTAACTGGCAACAAGACCAGAATACCAATCCGTATCCATTGGCCAGAACAACTGTTCCAGATTACTGTCAAATTACATTTGCCAACAAAAACATAAATATAAAAACTAGAAGAACTCACAAAGTGCCACATGTCTGCAATATGTGAATTTTGAGTCTACACTACCATCCAAATATATTAATAAATGTGTCCTACAATAAGGTTTTATGTGCATTCATAATCTTCGATGTCCTTTTTTAGAAGAAGAAACGGAATTATTAACAATGATATAAAATATACAAACATCAAGAGGATGAGAAATTTTTGATAACACAAGTGCCTATTCTTTTGTGTATTTGCACAAAACGCATGTACAGTATTAATTCATACCTTACATTGCAAACCAATAAATTTTTTGGGATCGACACCTTCAAAACTCAACCTGTATTCAACAATAAGATTCCATGGAAATCCAAAATAATAATCATTACATTATATAAAATGTTAACGACGAGTAATTAGGTAGAGAGAGTAAAGGGGAAAAATGGCATACCAAACCCATTTCTTGATCCGAACAGCCACCAAATGCCTCAATCCGTTTCCCAAACAAGCACCATACAACATTTTTCCACAGCCGCTTCATAAGACTCAAACTTTTATTAACTTTACTGTCCAAGTTCATTTTTCCCTACTACAAATATTTTTTAACATAATTTTGCGTTTCTCCTAACCTCAATTGATCATCTATTGTACCCAACCCAATACTATCTACCCTCAATTCCATTTCCTCGTTACCCCTACTGTCCTCTGCTTCTTCCACAAGATCCCACTCTCCATTCCTTCTTCACCATTGCCCTCCACTTTCAGCGTTTCCTTCAAAATCAACTTCTCAAAAAATGGTGGTTACCTTTCTTTCCTTTTCTGGTGCCGCGGGAAACATGAATCGCCAGCGGGAATCTCGGGCATCTTCTGTTGTTCTTTTAACTGATCGCACCTGTCGGTATGAAGAAGCAGAAGAGGTTTCCGAGCGGTCTTGACCTTTTTCGATCCACTAGCGTTAACATACGGAGAAGTAACGGAGAACACATCAGGCAATCGCACATATTTGAGACTCCTACTTCCTCTTTCAACGTCATCTTCTTCAGCATCCTGTAAATGTTGTTTCAATTTTGCACCCTTTTTTCCTTCTTCGATTTGGAACAAATTTGAGGAAGGAAAAATAGCCATGGGGAAGAAAAGAAACTATTTTCTTCCTCTGTTCCTCTGGGCAGATGGAATTTGGGTGGTGAATGGGAATTTTTATTAGGGTTTTGAAGGAAAGAGATTCGGAGGGAGGTTTTGAGGGGAAATGGATTTCCCGCCGTTTCACGTGGAAATTGACATGGAGAAAGAAATCTGGGCATTATGGATTCTTATATACGAATCGGGTGGAGTGGTGGATATAATTGTATGCAACGGTACCAAAGGGAGAATTTGTAGGGGGAGATCCTCAGACTTACATAGCGTGGTCGTAAGTCGATTTACAAGCTCTCAACCGGTACGATCCAAAGCTAAATAATTGTCGATGATCGATAGCGAAGTAGTATGGTAAAAGAAGGGTGATTAGAATTTGCATCGAGGAGTGAAATAAAATTATAAGGTAATGAAGATTTGTCGCTATCATGAAGTTGTGTTGGCGAGAGGATACCGTATATTTTTCGTTGGGAAAATTTTCAATCAATTCAGTATTTTATAATTGCAGACAATATATATAAGCAGTAACTACTAGTAGTTGGCTAACTTATTGAAAGTTTTTCAATTGATACGTGCTTGCTTCGCCTTCACGGAAGTATTTTGTTGGTAATTTATAAATTAGTAAACTTTTAAATGTATCAAAGGAATATAAAGAAAGTTTATATCGAGGAAGTGTTCGTGATTTGTTGCGTTTGGTGTTTTTTTTTTTTTTTCCGGTTTTATAAAACACTAAAAACAGATTTGGTGTGTTATTTTCTAAAATGCATTTTTGAAAAGAACATGAAATTTATAACATAAAGCTCAAAACGATTTTTTGAAGTTGGAAACACTCAAATCACTCGAAATGTGTGAAATTAAATTTAAAATTCAAGTTAAAACATAAAACAACTTGCTCTCTTCTCGCTCAACCTATTCAATTCATCTCCTCTCTCACTTGCCGCCTTCTGTCAACAAGTCCATCCGGCAACATCCTTCACTGCGCGCAACGTTTCCTAATCCATGGTAGGTACCTATTATTCTCTATCCAAACCAAATAAACAAAGTTGCAAACACCTCTTTGTATTGAAGTTTCTCGACATATTGAACAAAGAAAAAAACCATTTGTACAGTCATTAGTGGGCTAAAATTCACTCACATTAGTATGAGGCCCACTAATTAATTATTTAAAGCTGCTAATGACTGTACATGTAGCATGTTTGTTGAACAAATTGTAAGAACTCGACAAATTTCATAATCCCAAAGGGCTATCAACATAATCCTACATTTTGTCATCTGCAGACCAAGATACTCAGCTAACTTATATATGAAAAGGGTACTTGAATTTAATTCTATCTTAAGTTATGTTTGATATGGAATATTCAACTATCGATTAGCCCTTACTCATGGACCAGTTCTCTTCGGTAAGCATATTCTTTCGCCAATTTAAGAATTCAATACTAGATCACTAGAAAAAACCAATAACAATAAGATTGACGGCCATTGTTAGGAAAAAAGTTACTTGTTTGATATTATATTATGTTTTAATAAGTAATCAAATTTATTTAATAAATGTCATAAATTATTTCTAAAAATTTTAAACCAAATATATTTCTACTTTTTATTGCTAGAGAAATTGTGTTTCAGAATGACAAACAAAATGTGTTTTCTGCAATCTTAAAATAGTTCCTCAAAATAGAAAACTTTGAATCTAATTTTGAAGAGAATAAAAATTTTAGAATGGTGATTGATGTGAGAATGTGTGGTGGAAAAGTGATGAAAAGTTTTTGATTTGTGTGTAATATTATTTTATTAGGGGAATGTGTGGTTGAAATGAAGAATGAGAATGAGAATGAGAATGAGAAAGAGAAAGAGAAATNTGGTTGAAATGAAGAATGAGAATGAGAATGGAAATGAGAAAGAGAAATTAATAGGTGCCAAACGGGGGCTTAAAATGAATTTAAAATTGAGAATTGAAACGCAAACTAAATACCCCCAATTTTCAAAAATTTAGGTTGAAGGCCAACTTTTTGTGAGTGTATAGGCGAGGACCTTTACTACAATATTTCCTACAAAAAAAGAATGAAATTCAAGTTATTGTTAACATTATTTTTCATTAAAAATTGTGTGTCCTGAGTCATTTAAGTCCCAAGTTTGGTCCCTGTTTTAGACTCATTTTTTAATCAAACTCATTTTTTATTACTTTTATAAAATCACTTTTATAAAATATATTCTCTAAAAATATCTACTAGAAATGACTGTACTCATTCTTCTTAAAGAATGTTGACTGAACTCCAAAACCCGTCATCGAAAAAATAAATAAAAAATTACCTCTATATGTCGAGTTGATTTAACATATTTGACGATGTAATAAGTAAGTATAATAGATGGTGCCTTCTTATATAGAGTTTTAGTTTCAACCAAATATATTTTAGAGAAAATATGTAACATTGTATTTGAGACGTTTCATTTTAAAATAACAAACATTGTTTTTTTTCCTCGACAATTATCTTGTAAGTCTTTTTTCTACCAGTAATTACTCTTACCCTAAATTTAACCTCAAGAAAACTAATGTATATGTTCTTACAACCAATTGTAATGAAAAATTTGGCCTTGATGCACGGTCTCTCAAGACGAAGTGGAAAACATTGACGAGTATATGAACATAATTTGAGCCTCAACTCGTAACATTTTTAAGGTTACTCAAAATAACATAATATCTTGAGTGTAATAGTTTGCTTAGGTTTCGAGGCTATGGCCCTAAAATTTTAGAATAACTGTGGATTACGAGCTTGTTTTATGTAAATTTTTACATAATAGATTTTGTGAAAAAGTGATTATTTTGAAAACGTGTTGCTAAAAAATAAGAAAAATTGCAGATCCACGTACAAATTTATTTTATTGAAACAACATGTATTGGAAATAAATTTGAAGAAAACTGAATTTTTAAAAAATAAAAAGCAAGCAAGGACATGAAGTCAAGATGGTCCTCAAATAAATACAAAATCATATGCATCCCTCTTTCGGGTGCATAAAAGTAGCCTTAATATTAAAATTCATGACCGTTTTGATTAAGTAGTTGTTCACCACGATAGTCATCTTACATGACATACACATGATATGTGGTTATTTAATGCATTAATGTGTAATTTTCTATTTATTCATGTATCAAATAATCATATGTCATGTGTATACCACGTATGACGATCATCGTAATGAGCGATTGCGAATAACATTACTCATTTGGATAAAGTCACTTGTACATCACATTTCTACATCATTCTTGTAGGCAAGTTTTGATCGGTGAAAAAAATGTTTCCTTTTTAACGGTCAAATGGCAACTCAACACGTGACGATATGTAAAACTTGGTGTACACTATGATGTACACCAAGTATGATTGTACCCATTTTGATTTGTTGCGTCCGATGAGTAGCCTTGACGGTTATATATGTTAATTTATGAAAAATCACGTGAACATTGACAGGTTCGTTGAATTAATTGATAAATTGAGGACATTCATGGCTTGATTAATAGATTTGTGCCAGTTAAGTACTTGAATTATAGGCTCAATCAATTAAATCAAAGTCAACGCCTTACATTTACTTGTATATATGGTAAAAAGATTCACCCGACAAATTTTATTTAGGATTGATCTATTTGTATATTCCTCCTTGATATCTTGAATAACATTCTCCTATGTACATTGATTGAAAAGATTGTTATTAAAATCAATATAAATAAAGTTCTCAACTCACATAATTTCATCCATGATGTCAAACTTGATGTACACCAAGCAAAACTCTTTTATTTATTGCACTATATATATTTTTTATTGCACTATATTTTTGTTT